GGGAGGGGGGGGCGTACCGCGAAGCCCGCCGAGTAGGCCCAGGGGTTGCCTTGGAGGTCGTAGATCCCGGCGGCGGTGACCGTGCCGGTCCCGACGAGGTTGGTGTCGACGTACGTCTGCCAGCTCATTGCTCACGGAACTGCGGACGGGCGGGCAAGAGGAGAGAGCGTGAGGGGTGGCAGGCAGAGTGGCGTGGAAAGGCTGGCGGGCAAGCAAGACGCGGCACGGCGGCGCCTTGCGCTGCGAGGAGGGCTATCGCCGACGCGGATTTGTTTTTCTTTTCTTCGAAACGCCTCATCTCTTTTCGTTGCTCTTTTCGTTGCGCCGGGCCGCGCGAGTCCTCTTTGATTTGTCTCTTTCGGCACCCTTCCGCCACACCTCTGTGGCACCCCCCCCCTCTCTTGGCGCTTTCTTAAGCGCCTGAGCTCCTCCCGAGGCTGAGCTCATCCCTGCATCTCTCAGAATGTCCCTTGAAACGTGAGAGAGTGCGTTGTGTTCTAGGTACTCGTATCCGCTTTCTCTCTTTCGCGGCTAGGGAAGAGCGACGCTGGTGCTTGCTTGCAATGCCCCTCGTGACTCCATCGCTCGCCGTATCAAACTGCACCCTGCCACACTCCCCGCTGCCGGTGCGCGACGGGTCGCTCTGCTCGGTGCCCGCGTGCGCCGCGTGCGGCCGGCTGCTTCCGTCGCTGCTGCTCATCGGCTCAATCAAGACGGGCTCGACGCTGCTGTGGGGCCGGCTGGTCGACTATAGCGAGGGCGCCATAGACACGGGCAGGACCACCGACAAGGGTTACATCTCCAAGAAGGAGAAGGACTTCTTCGGCGACCCTGCGCAGTGGCGCCGTGGCCGCGGCTGGTATGAGCGGGCGTGGCCAAAGTGCCCGGCTAGCGGCGCGCGCACCGTCGTCGGCATCGATGCGACCCCGGCGTACCATGTGTGGTACGATGCGCCGAAGAACATGGCCGCCTTCTACGGCCGGGCGCTCGGCCAGCTCCGGCTCGTGTGGATGCTCCGCGACCCGGTGCGACCGCCGCACCGTCGCCCGCCAAGCTCGGCACCGCCGCCCGCCGAGCGCCGCCGCGCCGCCGCCCGGCCTCGCCGCAGGTGGCCAAGTACTGGTCCTATTTCTGGGAGCTCAAGTCGTACGGCGGCGACTGGGACAGGGTCACCTTTGACGCCTTCACCGCGCCCAAGCTGAACCGGTCGCGCGAGTGCGCCGCTTGCTTGAGTAGTTGAAACTAGCGACCGCGTGCTAGTTGTGCCAGTTGAGCTGAACAGGGCGCGCAGTGCGCATTGCTTGGCGCACCACGCCTCCCAGACATCTCCCAAGACACCTCCCAGACACTTCCCAGCCGCCTCCTGCACACTCCCCAGACTTGTCCCAGACACGTCCCGCATGCTAGCCAGACGCCTCAAGGACACTCCCCAGACACGTCCCAGACACTGTCCCGCACGCTAGCCAGACGCCTCCAGGACAGGACGCGAGAGGGACACTCTGTCGGCAGAGCGGCGCCTCTAACCCGCGCCCGCCCCTCCGGCGCCTCGCCCCTGCGCAGGTGCCTCTGGCGAGACCCAACCTCGCCGCTCTGGCCGCCCTCCCTCCCGCCGCCGTTTGGCAGCTGCGCGCCGCACCTCGACCACGGCCTCTACC